CTAAATAAAAAGCTAAAGCAACGTTGTCAATTATGTTTTAGCGAACCAGGAAGTGAGTGGTTCAAGAAATTTTGTACCTTAACGGTCATTATACCCTCCCGTTCAAAAAGCGAGAAAGTTTCGGGTGCAGACCATGCCTTACAAGTGACGACGGCTTTCACAAAAAACAATGTTTTCTGCCAATTGAATGTGCTTTCTCTGGAAGGAGAAAACACGCACGTCCACGCAAATATGGACTATGCCTGCATTTAAATGCCACTACGAAGCTGAATGGAAGTAGAATGCGCATCCAAAAGGGATTGATCAACATCAAGGCTTCAGTCCTTCAACTCCTAGCGCCAGAAACAAGTGAATGTCGCTTGACTTGGATTTATTCGATGTCGAATCAAACACGTAACAGTAAAGGGGTAACTTCGCTAACTTCAAAAAATTATTTTATTTTATTTTATTTTATCTAAATAAAAAGCTAAAGCAACGTTGTCAATTATGTTTTAGCGAACCAGGAAAGTGAGTGGTTCAAGAAATTTTGTACCTTAACGGTCATTATACCCTCCCGTTCAAAAAGCGAGAAAGTGTCGGGTGCAGACCATGCACCACAAGTGACGACGGCCTTCACAAAAAATGTTTTCTGCCAATGAAATGATTAGCCTGTTGCAGTTGTATTCTATCGATTGTCACTAATTACAACTATCATTTACCAGAAATCAGCTATCACTATGAACACTTCTAACCAGATTTACTTGGAGGCCGTCGTCAGTTGTGGTGTTTGGTCTGCACCCGACACTTTCTCGCTTTTTGAAGGGAGGTTATTTATAAGCGGACTGCTCGGTCTCGGCATACCACCCGTTGACGAACACCATACGCCGCCACCATATGTATCACGGAGCGGTCTCGAATTTATCACAGTAAAGGTTATCAACTTACGTTTTCAGTTCAGAGGGAGCTCAGAGCATGGTGACTGGTATGGTTAGTCTACTGACGCAGATCCCTGCTTAGTAGATCATTTCAAGCGTTCTACGAATCTATCTGTTCTTGAGATTGTGGGAACTATTCGAGTGCATATTAAGCTTTGACGTACTGCCCAATAGTCATAGTTATCGAACAAATCTAGCCAGTTATTTGCTGAATGCTTATGTTACGGCAGGTTTACCGAATGAATTTTGAACAGTCTCCAGTTCACAGCACTGTGTTCTTCCCCTCTCTAGCCGCCGAATTGCGCATGATTTCGGAGTTCTACACATTGTGACAGACTATTATGACCTACGATGAGCGCATTAGAAGATCTGTGGAAATTACCAGATAAAAACTAAATTCCCAAGTTTGTTTAGTGGTCCTTCACCTGTGGCGATCGCATCGAGCGAAGTTCATCGTCGAATTTCTTTGCAAATCATGAGGAAGGGCCGTCCAGTTGACAGCGTATTCATCGGGGAGACATTGGTAGCTCGTGTTGAAAGCGACATTTCTCGTAAGTTATATAGGTTCACTGTTCTTATTAACCCTTTGACGACCGTGTGGCCCGCCGGTGGGCCACACTTTCGCTCGGTGGCGACACGTTTTTAGGGGTTTATTTTGGCATTTTTATGTTTCAAAACTACACAAATACATCATCGAATTCGCGGAATAATGCGCTAATTACTAATAGTGAAATTGTTGGAGAGTTAATGATTATTGATGAAAAAATTTAGAAAGAAGTGAAGTGACGCATTCATAACGGCGGTCGTCAAAGGGTTAATGAAAAAGCACCACTGGGGTATCACTCTTCCTACTTTTCAGCTGATCGCCTGCGAATTATCGAGTGCACGGCGCATCGTGTTGGCGGAAATGGACCTCCAACCTCTGTTGGTTTGATCGCGGATGGGTTCGTTTGTGTCGTATTTTTCACAATTGCACTACATGAAGCGCGAGCGAGTATAATTTCACAAAGTTGGGTCAGAAAAAGGAATCTGATAAAAGATTGCTATGAGGCCATCAAGTTGCTCAGAATGTAATGCGAGTTTTTGACCTCTATTTTCGTAGAGGGCGGAAGTGGTGTAGTGGCAAGTGGCACGCTTACCACGCGAGCGGTCCGGGGATCAAATCCTGGGTCGTGAGTCGCCCGGGCCAACCAAGCCTTCCATCCCTCCGGGGTCGGTTAATTGGTACCAGACTTGTCTGGGAGGATAAAAACACTGACTTGTACATCGGCTGGCCCCCGCAAGTCATTGTATAGGCCACATCGCATTCAAACGCCACTACGAATGTACAAATGGAAGTAGAATGCGTGCCGCATCCCAAAAAGGGATTGATCAACGGCAAATGCTTTATCCTTTTTATTTTATGCTTCGTAGAACATATTTTCACGCGAATTCAACATTTTCAGTCGTGACAAAAACTAAAACCAATTCCAAGTGGGAACTAGTAATTTTTGTAACCAATATTGATTCTCAGAGTCCCTTAACCCACCTGAAAATGAACCTTAAAAATGAGCTAATGGCATCGTGTCCAGCGTCATTTCCACATCAGTTTGAGCATTCAAGCATTTCTTACTCAAGAAGTTCTCGAGAAGGTCTCAAAAGGAGGTATCAGTTTAGGCGGGACGGTCGCCGGTGGGGGAATCAAGAGACTCCGTTCTTTACCAAAAAAAATTCTTCGACAAACGAATAAATAGGTATTAGGATTTTCAGTTTGACTTATTTTTATTTTTTAGCTACAGTTTATCAAAATGCAAAAATTATCAGAAGGATGCTATGTTGTGGGCAAAGCTTCACATCTGCTTAGAATCAAGCCCGAATCTCTTCCTTATTGACAGAAGCGCCGTCATTACGCTACTAAGAGAAAGATGTTGCGATGTCGCTGACAATGAATTCCTGGTATCATGTCATACTCTAGTGCTATGGTAATCCCATCAACTGCTGCTTCGCTAGGCTGTGAAATGACACTGGTGGTGCAGGAGATACGTATCCTGCCCGATACGCATCGATCCAGGTTCGGTTCCCTGCTGGGGACAAACCGATTTGCCCATAATCTGCGATATAATAAGATTGCTGTCGACCAATTCTACAAAATAGCACCAGCAGCAATAGCAAGTAGCCAGTGCTGTTGCTCTTGGAAGGCTAAATAAATGAATACCCTTATGGTCACCTCTACGGTAGTTTACAGAAATAATTGACCAGGCAGTTATTACGAATCGACCATAATGAAATTAAGGTGTAGTTTGGGTGAGACATGGTGGAAACTGCATCTGTGGTGATGTGGTAGCACACCTGGCCGGTGAGCACGACGTCCGCATTAGAATCTCGGCTCTGGTAGCGGGTTTTGTACGCAACCCAATATCCCTGAATTTGAAAACAGGGACTTTTCTGGGAAAATGCCTTCAGTAGAAATTTTCGCTCCTTTACCACTTCAACTGGTATCACTTCAATTGAGGTAGCCGAGACCTATTCGATTAAAAATTCCGCGTATGCAAAAAGGGACTTCCAGAATTTGTCAAAACTTGAAAAGAAGTGCCACATGTGTGAAGAAATTGATGCTCTAGTAAAGGCTTACAGTTAAAACTTCTAGAACTTTCTAGGTGTGCTCTACTTCCTTCTTTGATGGCTCCTATGGTGATGGGCGACAATGGATGGGAGTCATCATTATCAGCGTTCCGCATAGACGGAAGCGAACAGATTGACGTCGTCTGCATGGTGGCCGTTTGCCAAGATGAAGCTTGTCCTCAGGTTAGTATCCATTGTTTTGCTTACATGCTAAAAGATTGCCGTTAGTTCCAATGGTAGCATTCTTGTATTAACCTGGGAAGTATTCCCTCACA